GGAAAAATTGGAATTCAAAATCTTGTGGAAGTGAATATTAAAAACTTTTTAAAATAATTAATTTAAAAAGGTTAAATAATCTGCCTAACATTACAAAAAGTGGTAGAATTGCAAATTGAATTAGAATCTTCCAACTCCAACCAAATTCGGCACTCTTTCCACTTTACCACCATCCCTGTGGTAAAGGACGCTGAAGCACAGCTTCCATTTTTCATGCTGGTTTCATTCCTGTCAGGTTAGCTTTGGAGTGTAGGAGAAGATGGTTGATGAAAGATTTAAACAAAAAAAAAGAAACCCAACTAAGAGTGGGTAGTCTTGTTATTTGTGAGACTGATTCATAAGTTATTAAGATACACCAAAGGTCATATGAATCACAGATATTCACTCTTACCTCAAAACAATCCATTCTTAATCAATCTATAGAAACCATTTCCCGAGTGTAGGATCTTTGAGCCTTTTCCTCTTTTATGTTTCCTTTACTTGGTCCTTTGTCACAACTCAGTTCAGCAAATACTAGGTGCTTATTCTGTAAATGGCACTGTAGAGTCCCCCATTTTCTAGGCGTTTACATTCTACTAGGAGAATACAATGTATCCCCCAATACATAAATATAAAACCATTTGAGGAGCTTGAGAGGGCACATAAAACAAGAGGAAGCAGGAAGGACTTCATGTAATGCAATTCAATATATATTAAGAGCCTGCTGTGTGCCAGGCACTGTGCTAAGTGCTGGGGATATAAAAAGAGGCAAGAAGACAGTCCCTGCCCTCAAGGAGCTTATGGTCTAGTAGGGGAGACAATGTGTAAACAAATATATACAAAACAAGCTATATGCGGAATCAATAGGAAATGATTAAAATAAGGGAGGTACTAGAATTAAGAGGTATTGGGGAAGGCTTCCTGTGGAAGATGGGATTTAAAGAAAGTCCAGGAGGCGCAGCTAGGTGGAGTGGATAGAGCACTGGCCCTGGAGTCTGGAGGATGACCTGAATTCAAATCCAGCCTCACACATATAACACTCACTAGCTGTGTGACCCTGGGCAAGTCACTTAACACCATTACCTAGGCAAAAAGAAAGAGAGAAAGAAAGGAAGGAAGGAAGGAAAAGAAAAGAAAGGAAGTCAGTCAAGGAAGGTAGAGAGGAGGAAGAGTGTTCCTCTCCCTGGATGACAGCCAGAGAACATGCCCAGAACCAAGACATGGAGTGTCTTCTTTGTGCCACAGTCAGGAGTCCAGAGTCACTGGATCAAAGAGTACATGTTAGGGGGAAAGTTGTAAGAAAACTGGAAAGGTTGTTATTGTTGGGTTGTTCAGTTGTGTTCAACTCTTTGTGACCCCATTTGGAGTTTTCTTGACAAAGATACTGGAGTGGTTTGCCATTTCCTTCTCCAGCTCATTTTACAGATGAGGAGACTGAGACAATGAAGGTTAAATGACTTGTCCAGGGTCACGCAGCTGGTAAATGTCTGAGGCCAGATTTGAACTCAGGAAGATGAGTCTTCCTGTCTCCAGGCAATGTTCTAGTGACTGAACCACCTACCTGCTTTTGAAATATATTGAAACGTAATTATCAGACTATTTAAAAAAAAAACAACTAAATTCATTGATCCCAGGTTAAGATGATAAAATAATTAAGGCAGATGTTTGGCCAGCTGCCTAATTATCAATTTGTTTTTACTCTGTAAATTCCATTTCTGTTTTTCCCCCACAACTTAATTCAGCAAATTCCCCATTTTCAAGGAGTTTACATTTATTCTGAGAAGGCAGCATGTCCCCAAATGAACAGATACAAAATAATTTGAGGGGATTAAGAGGGTACTTATAGCCAGAGGAAATAGGAAGGCCATACCTGAACTGGACCTAGATGGAAGTGAAAACTTTTAGTTTCATGTGGAGCACAGAAGCAAAAGGAGGAACGAATGCCCAGTTCTGGGAACGAATAGTAGATCAGTGTGACTAGAATAAAGAATGCGTGGAGGAGAGTAATATGAAACGTGCCTGGAAACATGGGTGGCAACAAGATTGTGCAAGACTTTAAATGTCTAAGGATTTTGTATCTATTCTAGAGGTAATAAGGACCTACTGGAGATTTTTCAGCAGTTGAAGGACATGGTGAAGGCCTGTGTTTCCACATTTTGATTTGGCAGCGGTATGAAGGATGAATAGGAGAGAGAAAAGACTGGAAGAGGAGAAACCAATTAGCAAGCCACTGCCATAGTCCTTGCCATAGTCCAAGCAAGAGACGATGAAGGCTTGAACTAGGGTTGTGGCCTGTGTGGATGAAGAGAAGGGCATTAGTGGGAGAAATATTATTCAGGTAGAATTGTCAGGAGTTGAAAATTGTTTAGATGTGGGAGGATAAGGTTGAGGATGAAGTCAAGAATGACTTTAGGTTGCAGATCTGAATGATGGGAAGAGCAGTGATGACCTTCAAGGAAATGAAGGAAAGAGTGGACTTAAGGGAGAAGATAAGAAGCAATATAAGGGGCAGCTAGGTAGCGCAGTGAATAGAGCACCAGCCCTGAAGTCAGGAGGACCTGCATTCAAATCTGGCCTCAGACCAAACACTTGACACTTACTAGCTGTGTGACCCTGGGCAAGTCACTTAACCCCAATTGCCTTTAAAAAAAAAAAAAGAAGCAGCAATGTAGCACAGTAGAAAGAGTGATAAATTTGGATTTAAGAGGACATGGATTTGATTCCCACCTTAGATACTTATTTATTAACTGTCTGATCTTAGACAAGTTACCTGATTTCTAACAATAATAATATAATGATAAGCCAACATTTATATAACAGTGTGTGCCAGGCACTGTGATAAGTGTTTTATAATTATGATCTCATTTGATCCTCGCAATAACCCTGGGAGGGGAGGCTTAATGATAATCATTTTACTGATGAGAAAACTTAGGTCAACAGGTTAAGTGACTTGCCCTGGGTCACATAGCTAGTGAGTGTGTAAGACCGCATTTAAACTTCGGTCTTCCTGACTCTAGGCCCAGCTCTCTGTCCGCTGCACTACCATATTTTCCTCATTTGCAAAATGAGAAGCTAGACTATGTGGCTACTGTAGTTCCTTCTGATTCTAATTCTGTTCTTCTGTGATCCTGTAATGAGTTCCATTTTGGAACCTGTCGAATTTGAGATGCCAGAGTAGTCCTCATATCTGGGCAGAGTTGTTTGGCAATCAGTTTAGTGATACGGACCTGAAGATGAAGAGAGGAGATCAGGGCTCAGTATATAGCTATGATAATTGATTCCATGAGAGCTGATAAAATTGGAGACAGAGGAATGGAGGGGAAGGGAGGGAGGGAGGGATGATTCAACAAAGATTATTGACAAAGATCACTCAAACAAAAGGATAAGGGAAAACAAGAAAGAGCAGTGTTACAAAATCCAAGGGATAAAAATGAGTATCCAGGAGAAGGAGATGGTCACCGTTATCTGCAGAAAGGTCAAGGAGAATCAGGATTAAGAAAGGGCCACAAATTTAACCTCAGAGAAAAGGGTTTCCATTGAGTGGTGAATTTGGAGGTCCGATGACAAGACTTTTAGAAATGAAACGGGAGCAGTTACAGCTCTTTCTGGGAGTTTGACTATGAAAACGGAAAGGAATATTTGACAGTCGTTCAGTAAGATGACCAGATCAGATAAAAGGTTTTACTTTGTTTTGTTTTAAATGGGAAAAACGTGGGTATGTTCTGTTATGACAGAGAGAGAGAAATTGAAGAGGAGTCTAGGGCGATGGGATGCCAAGCACACAAGTTGAGGGGCTGGCTTTGGCAAGGAGAAGGACCACACACATCTCCTTTTGAGACCAGAGCAAAGGAGGAAAGAATGGAGGTGACAGATGCTTTGAGGTATAGAGTAAGGCAGAAGAGGGAACTGTCAGTGGATAGCCTCTATTTTTTTGAGTAAAGTAGGAGGGAAGGTAGTCTTCCAAAAAAGGGAGCAGGGTTAGGGAAGAAGGGCTTCGTAGAAGGCTTGAGAATCATAAGACTGTAGATTTATACCTGAAAGGTACCTTAAAGTCCATCCTCTTCATTTTACAAATGAGGAAACTGAGTCACAGAGAGGTCAAGTGACTTGCCCAGGGTCACACAGTAACCCATTTCTCCTTGCCTCCAAGTTTAATGCCCTATTCTCTATACTATGCTGCCTCATTTGGAACCAGAACAGTCTTTGTATGGGGTGTTATATAGGACTAATCAGGAAAGAATAGCAGGATTACCATGCAGCAGTAAGGGCCTGAGCTTACAAATCAGTAATGGACCCCATTGGTGCAGTTGCATATTTTTTCCAAAAACATACAAGTAAGATCAAAGAATGTGGGTGGATAATACTGGGTCATACTTTTAATGTATACATGCTCTTTTTAATGGATTGCAGAGATCGTTTGACTAAAAATTAGCAGTGAAAGTATGATCATGTTAGGATTTTTAATTATGAATTCTTTATTGCATATTGGGACAGAAGTTTTGTCCCTGAGCATACAGAGCTGAGACTCTGAAAGAATTAAAAGTATTTATGCTATTGGCAAATAAATTTTTTTTTACTTCTTTGATAAACTGAAATATTTTTTCCTTCATTTCTGGACCTATCTATGCTTTAACATTTCCAGTCTGAATAATTATGTTTTTTCCCAATTTTCTGTTTTTTCTTCTTTTCTCTAGCATTTCTCAAATAACTGTCAGGCAGCTAGGATTTGCTGTATTTTGGAATGATTATTTTCTGTCAGTGACTCAAACTCATTCCTTTGCATTCTCTCTAAAAGATTTTCATATTGAGAAATCAGTGAATGGTAATGTCAGCTAGAATCATGGAATGTTTTATTGTACTTTTTTGATGATAAGCTTTAAAATTGACCATGTAATTGCTTTTGAACCTAAAACATGGATGCCTTGGGTAAGGAATCTTACCATAAAGTACTTGAATTTTGCATAACTTTTGGCAGATATTTGTTGAATAATCTTATGACTTCTCACTTTTACGTCATGTAGCAACTGTATAGAAAGAAGCCAGGTTTGCCCATCACATTTGCAAAACTGTCTCAAAATCTGGACAAAAATCGCTACAAAGATGTGCTGCCTTGTGAGTATCAAATGTCAGTGTTTGACTGCTTCAACCCTCTCCTTTTATTGTCCCCTCCCACACTATCTCTCACTATTGTTGGCAACTCATTTAACTCTTCTTAGCTTTAATTTTCTCCTATGTCAAAACTGTCTAAATTATGTCAAAATAGATAGATGACCATATGAGGTAGCCACTGTAAGTATCTATATGGGATGATCAAGTATGGGTGTGAAGTAGTCTTTAAAGCACTAAATAAATATGAGCCATTATTCCTAAGTGTGATATAGAGAAATTGATTTTTCTGGATAAGTGCATGTGAGTTTTATGAGTGTGGTATAGTGCTGTAATGTCAGACTCAAAGACACACACACACACACACACACACACACACACACACACACACACACACACACACACACACACACACACACACACACACACACACACACCCTCTCTGAATAACAACAGCTCTGAGCAAATCGGTCACTTCATCGCTTGGGGCCTCCATTCCCTTATCTATCAAATGATGAATTCTTTGGTCTCTGACAGTTCTAAATCATTTGATCTTATCCAGCCCAACATTATGTATTTAGTTCTTTCTATACAATGCCTATGGTCATTACCCAAGTGCCAGGCACAGAAGGGGTCAGCATGGAAAAATCTGGAAGTGGGAAGACTTGGTTTCCTGTTCTGCTCTGCAAGTAATTTGCTGTATGACTTAGGCAAGTTACTTCAGTTCTCAAGGCCTTAGATAATTGTCTCCTTTTTTAAAACAGAATTTCTGGTTTTCTCTCAACTATTGTGGGAGTATCTGCAAATACCACAGTCTTTGTACTGTTTGTTTCTATCTTTATACTGTAAGGATAGCCTTTATGCTACTAACAATCCTTTGGAGCAAAAAAGATAAAGATAGTTACAGATTGAACTGTTTTCTAATAAAATAAAAATTTTCTCTTTTTTATAGATGATACCACTCGGGTATTATTGCAGGGAAATGAAGATTATATTAATGCAAGTTATGTGAATGTAAGTCAAATCTATATCTTTTTTAAAAAAAGAATACTTATAACAGCATTTCTCTTAAGTGTTTTCTTATACTATCAATTGTAATTATATGTTTCGTCTTAAAATGATGGAAAAAAGCTACCACATCTGTTTGATACACAGTAATCTAAGTTCTCATACTGGCTCTTTCACTTTTTATCTGTGTAGCTTTGGACAAGATATACCACTTCTCTCAAGCTTTTTTGTTTCTCCATCTAAAATATAAGGGGTTGAACTAGTGGAGCTCTAAAGTCCATTAAGTTTTTTGTTTTTAATATTCTATTTTTTCCCAATTGCATGCAAAAACAGTTTTTAACTTTCTTTTTTTTAAATTTTGAGTTCCAAATTCTCTTCCTCCTTGCTCCCCTTCCTGAGATGATAAATAATTTAATGTAGGTTATACATGTGCAGTCATGCAAAACATTTTCATATTAGTCATGTTGTGAAAGAGAACACAAACCAAAATACATACAAATACAGACAGACAGACACACACACACAATAAAGTGAAAAGTAGTATGCTTCAATCTGCTTTCAGACTCCATTACTATTTTTCTCTGGAGGTAGATAGCATTTTTCATGAGTTCTTTAGGATTGTCTTAGATCTTTGTATTACTGAAAATAGCTAAGTTGTTTACAGTGGATCCTCATATACAGTATTGCTGTTCTCCTGGTTCTGTTCACTTGGCTCTGCATCAGTTCATGTAAGTCCTTCCAGGTTTTTCTGAAATTATCCTGCTTGTCATTTCTTATAGCCCAGTAGTATCCCATCACAATCATGTACCAGAACTTGTTCAGCTGTTCCCCAGTTGATGGGCATCCCTTCAATTTCCAGTTCTTTCACCACCACTAAAGGAGCTGCTATAAATATTTTTGTACAAATAGGTCCTTTTCTCTTTCTTGAAAAATCTCTTTGGAATACAGATCTAGTATTGGTATGCACAGTGTTATAGGCCTTTGGGCATAGTTCCAAATTGCTCTCCAGAATAGTTGGATCAGTTTATAACTTCACCAACAAGCATCCCATTTTTCTGACATCCCTTCCAACATTTATCATTTCTCTTTTCTGCCATATTAGCCAATCTGATAGGTGTCAGATGGTAACTCAGAATTATTTTAATTTGCATATCTCTAATTGATAGTGATTTAGAGCATTTTTTCATATGACTATAGATAGCTTTGATTTCTTCATCTGAAAACTGCCTGGTATATCCTTTGACCATTTATCACTTGTGGGGGAATGCTCTATATATTTGAGAAATGAGGTCTGTAATCAGAGATGCTTGCTGTAAAAAAAAAAATTTCCCTGCTTTCTGCTTTCCTTCTAATCTTAACTGCGTTGGTTTTGTTTGTAGGAAAACTTTTAATTAATATAACCAAAATTATCCATTTTATATCTTGTCATGCTCTCTATCTCTTGTTTGGTCATAAATTCTTCCTTTATCAACACCGATCTGACAGGTAAACTATTCTATGCTCCTCTAATTTGCCCATGGTATCCCCCTTTATGTCTAAATCATGTACCCGTTTTGAAGGTACATTAAGTTTCTGATGTTCTGTGTAAACCTCTCTTAAAGAAGACTAAGAGGGGGGCAGCTAGGTGGCACAATGGATAGAGCACCAGCCCTGGAATCAGGAGGACCTGAGTTCAAATTTGGCCTCAGACACATAACACTTACCAGCTGTGTGACCCTGGGCAAGTCACTTAACCCCACTGCCTAGCCAAAAAAAAAAGACAATGACGACTAAGAGGATTAGGGACAAAGATAAGAGGTTACAAAGCCCAGATAACAGTGCTAGAGGAAATGTTGATTGGGAAGCACAAGGAAGAGCTACATTTGTTCCGTTTTCAGCCTGCATCAAAGCAGGGAGCCAGCCTGTGGGCCCCAGAGAGGGAGTCTAGCCAAGAAGGCTGGTGAAGAGCCTTCCAACACAGATTAGGGTATAAGCTGGCAGCTAAATTATTACAAGGACATGTCCACAACCACATCCCTCTGATGCTGGACCCGGGTTTTATAACCCTCTAATACCGGTTGAGCTGCAAATACTTCAGTTAGGGTTTGTTTCTCATATGCCAACCTACTCTCTTTCTAATTTTCTTCCAAAGATCTCATTTCTTTTCCTATTTTCCCCCTAGCGCTCTCATTTCTTTTCCAGTTGTTTCCTCTAGCACTCATATAATTTATAAAGTAATTTTTGCCTCCTTTTAAAACTCTTGCTTTATCTCCTTTAGGAATTCTAGTTGAACTTGTGCCCAAGCTATGTTTTCCTTTGAGACTTTGCTTATAGATGTTTTGAAGTGAGTCTCTTCTTCTAGGTTTGAGTCTTGAGTGTCTCTATCACAATAGCTCTTTATGATAGTATCATTTTTAGTTTATGTGTTCCTCCAGCCTTCCTTTCTGACTTTGGACTCTTTCTTAGGGCCAGGGTCAAGGTCAAAGCTACACAGCTACTGCTTGCTTCTTTACAACCTAGGGCTTGAAACCGCCTCTTGTAGTAGACGGCCACCCCTTGGCACCGTCCCCTTCTCAGTCTGCATGAGATCTGTGACTCGGCACTGAGTAATGAGTTGGCATGTGGCACCTGTTTCCAGAGTCAGGCTCCTTTGTGCCAAATCTGGGACCTCTTCTTGCCCTGGTGAAGTACCATGGGCAGGCCCTTGTGTAGTCCCTGCCCTGAGATGTTCTTAGCTAGACCTCATACTCAATGCCACAGGACACGTCTCTGTCCTTTTCCCTGTGTGGACTTGGGGTAGAAAAAATAAATCACTTTTTTTTCCCCTTGGATTTCCCATTCAGGACTATATCCGGTGCTTTTTTGCCTGGACCTTTGTGGAATAGTTATGGGTGAGCACTTGACTGTTACTTCCTTCTCTGACATCTTGACTGGTCTCCCTCAGATTAATAGCTTTAGTACAAGTGGTACAAAGCCTTGCCCAAGTAAAAACCTCCTGCAAATTGGAATGGACCAAATACAAGTTAAAGATTCCATGAGATAAATCAAAAGACTGAAAAATAGAAGAAAATGTAAAGTATCTCATTATTTAAAACAGCCGACCTGGAAAATATATCAAGGAGAGAAAATTTGTGACAGTTTCATAGCTCCTTAAATAGAAATTACTTTTCATATACCTGCCCAAGTGCCAGCCAAATACCATATATTGGAATCAGGAAGGCCTGAATTCAAATGTGGCTTCAGATGCTTACTTAGCTGTGTGACACTGGGCAAGTCACAAAAATCTCTGTTTGCCTCAGTTTCCTCAATTGTACAGTGGAAATAATAGCACCTACCTCAAAGAGTTGTTGCCAGGATCAAATGAGTTGAGATTTGTAAAGCAATCAGCACAGTGCTTGGCACAGAGTAGATATTACATAAATACTTATTCCCATCTCCTCCCTTCCCTTGTTGAGAATCACCATTAATATTTCCTTTGAAAAACAAAAACGTCATAGTGCCGACTTCAAGCTACTGTGTGGTCTGAACAGATTCCAGATGTTCTCATGAAGAAAATATACATAATTCAAGAAGGAAAGGAGATGGTTAGAATAAGATTGGGAATATGACATTTGGAAGACCAATATGATGAGTGATCTCTGGTAACTAGAATGAACACCAAGCTGAGGTCAAGATCATCTAGATAATAATTACAGCTAAGCAAATCTATAATAATTACAGCTAAGCAAAAAGCAAATTGCTCTGTTGTTAAATATGGGTGTGGTTATCTTTCCAGTAGAGATAAAATAGCAAATGCTTTGTAAAGTGAAAACAGGAAAATTCTACTAGAGGTGTGGGAGAAGGAGAGGCAGATGGCCCAAAGAGGTCATGCATAATTAAGAGCTGATTACAATAATAATAATAATAGATTGTATTTCTGTAACCTTTTAACTTAACAAAGTACTTTGTACACACTGTCTCATTCGATGCTCTCTGAGATCATTAATGTTAAATATCCTCAGTTTCATTTTTGGAGATGATGAAACAGATCTAAAAAGTTAAACGATCATACAGTAAATAGACAACTTGAACCTAAGTTTTTTGGGTGTTTTTTAAAATTCAGTGCTCTTGGGGGCAGCTAGGTGGCGCAGTGGATAGAGCACCAACCCTGAATTCAGAATGACCTGAGTTCAAATCCAGCCTCCGACACATAACACTTACTAGCTATGTGACCCTGGGCAAGTCACTTAACCCCATTGCCTAGTCAAAAAATAAATAAATGAATGAATGAATTCAATGCTCTTCCTACTGTACCATGTTCAAGTTACACCCAAGAAGCTCATTAAAATAGCTTCTAGTATTTTGTCTATGTATTGTCTTTTGAGTATTATCCAGCTTCCTTCTGAAGATTGTCTTGCTAGCGTGATGAAGATTCCAATTGATGAAATATCACTTTCATTGTTTAGGGTTTTTTTTTTAACGATTCATCTTTCTGAAAGCTAACATTGATTTTTGCCATTATCATTTTACAAAAAAATTACACTGCCCATGATGTCAGCAGAGTGAAAGTGTTTGAAATCCAATTTCATGTCCATTTTGTAGATGAGAACAAATTTTAATGCACTGTATCTCTCACTAGATGGAAATTCCTTCTACGAAAATTGTGAACCAATATATTGCCACACAAGGTCCCCTTCCACATACCTGTGTGCATTTTTGGCAAGCAGTCTGGGATCATAAGTTATCACTTATCATCATGCTGACCACGCTCACAGAACGAGGACGGGTAAGTGTCTTTATGTCTATATCTTAATGAACGCCAGCTCACTCATTCACCCTTTTTTATTTCCAGAGTGTTTGGGTGCTGACACCTAGACACTGTTATTATTTTGAGTTTTTCTCTGAGCTTTGTTGAATAACATGGTATATAGAAAAAGTATTGGGGTCAGGACCTGAGTTCAAATCCCAGTTCTGCGGCTTACAGTATTGGGCAAGTTACTTGACCTCATTGGTTCTCAGTTTTTCTCATATGTAAAATGAAAGGATTGGACAATTTGACTACTGGTCACTTCTGGCTTTAAATCCCATGAAACACCTCTGATTTTATGCTCCAGCTGCTAGCTGCATGTTCAGACTACTATCCCATTCTATTGTTAGCTCTTTCTACTTTATACGTCCTTGACATCCATGATGACTGATACTTTACAAGCATGATTCGTTATTCTCTCCCGTAATCCTTGCCACTTCACTAGTGAAAGCAGGGAGGAGAAGGCTTTTAGCTCTTTTGTTATAGTTTTGATTTGTCTCTGTGTTTTAGAAATTAACTTCTTTCCTTTCCCTCTTTTCCCCAACCTAGCAATAAGGATGTTTATTTCTTATCAAAAGAGTAAAATATCCCTCCTACTGTAATAAGAATTTACAATAACGTATCCTTGAGTAGGATACTTGTTTACATTTTGCTTCCTTTTTACTTGAACTCCAAAACATTCATGTCAAGATTTGTTGTTGTTGTTGAGTTATTTCAGTTGTGTCTGACTCTTTGTGACCCCATTTGGGGTTTTTTTGGTGTGTGGTTTTTTTTTTGGTGAAGCAGTTGGGGTTAAGTGACTGGCCCAGGGTCACACAGCTAGTGTCAAGTGTCTGAGGTCAGATTTGAACTCAGGTCCTCCTGACTCCAGGGCCGGTGCCTTATCCACTGCGCCACCTAGGTGCCCCAATTTGGGGTTTTCTTGACAAAGGTGCTGGAGTGGTTTGCCATTTCCTTCTCCAGTTCATTTCACAGATGAGGAAACCAGGGCAAATAGGGTTAAGTGACTTGTCCAGGGTCACACAGCTAGGAAGTGTCTGAGGCCAGATTTGAATTCAGGAAGATGAATATTTCTGACTCCAGGCCTGGTACTCTATCTCTATGTAGCTGCCCAAGAGTAGTTAAATAATATTGGTGGGGAGGCAGGGGGGGGGGAAGCTTATGGTATTTTATTTCATAGGCAAGAGCAATAAAATGCGTTGTAATAGAAATGTCTAAAATGTAACAGCTGTTCTTCTGTAGTTAAACCCCCTCTTACAGTGTCATTAAATGCTGAGAGTTTGAACCAATTTAAAGACCAAGAACCTTTGGCAGAAGCAGTTGTGATTGTAAGTTGTAACCATTGTAATCTCCAAATGCAGTCTGGTCTAGTTTAAAGTAGATTCTTGTGGCCTGTCAGGCAGCGAGTGACAAACACCCTTCTGAACGAGGTGTAGGATTTGTGTAGTCAGCAAAGACATCAAGCACCTCCTGTCACTTACTTGTCCGGGAGCCTACTCCGTGGAAGCCAGGCAGGTGTTCCTGATTCTCAGCTTTTTCTCCAGAGTGTGACCAGTTCAGTTCAGCAAATACTAAGTAGGCACCTGGAAAGAAGATTTAGCAAGTGGCTAAGACAGACAACTCGGATTTCCATAATATAGACTATTCCCATGGCAGTCCCTTTGGAGTGGTAGAGAAAGTGCTGTGGGATATCGGGGGGGGGGGGGGGGGAGATCATTAGCAGCTGGGACAGGGAAGACAGGAATGGGGAATGAGATCAGAAAGACTTTTTTTTTGGAGAAAATGGCATTTAAAGGAAGAGTAGGCAAAGAGCAGACATTCAGCAGTCCATCAGCAAGAACAGAGATAATTAAGAGTTCCCTAGGGATGATATTTGTAGTGTAGATTGATGAAAGGTCAGTGCATTGAAGGATTTTACTAGTGCGATAAATGCTAATGGAACATTCCTGCGGCTGACCGTGGGGTCAGGGCTAGATAATGAGGCAAGTGAAGCTTGTATCAGAGAGATGAATGGGAAAATAGGACTGAGTCAAGGGAAGTCAGGTGAAAGAATAGATTTAGTGTGAGTGGGAAAGGTGGAAGTAGAGACGGTTGTGGTCTTAGAGGAATTTCAGGGTTCTGGATTTTGAAGGTGTTGCAGTGCCAAGATGGTGAAATCCTACAATTATTTTCAATCCCTCATCAATACTTCAGCCAGTGCTATCCACACAGTAGGTAGTTGTCGATCTAAAGCTATAGAGGGAACGTTAGCAGTCATATGGTCCAATCCCCTCATTTTGCTGATGAGAGTGAAATCTTATAGGTTGTATATGCATTCTGATTTATCAAAAGGATTTGACTCATTTGAAAAACAGATTAAAGCTAACTAGTTCTTTTTTTGTTTTTGTAGACCAAATGTCATCAGTACTGGCCCGACCCTCCAGATGTCATGGAATATGGGAACTTCCGTATCAAATGTCAGTCAGAAGTTTGCACCATTGCCTATGTTTTTAGAGAAATGCTGGTCACAAAAATTGAGGTAAACATTGACAGACCATGCAATATATTTGAGTATTGAGGACAATAACTCAGTGTCTACCTTTATTTCTTCCTAGCTTATTTGTGACAAGGAATGAATGAATGAATAAATGAACGATTTTGTCTTCTCTGGAATAAAGTATGGGGCAGCTAGGTGATGCAGTAGATAGAGTGCTGGGCCTGGAGTCAGGAAGTTGTCTTCTTGAGTTCAAATCCGGCCTCAGACTCTTATTAGCTGTGTGACACTGAGCAAGTCACTTCACCCTATTTGCTTCAGTTTCCTCATCTGTAAAATGAGTTGGAGGAGGAAAAGGCAAACCACTCCAGTATCTTGCCAAGAAAACCCCAAAAGGGATCACAGTGGGTCAGACTTGACTGAAATAACTGAACAACAGAAGAATAACGAACTGGTCCTTACTTGAACCTTGAAATGGAATTTTGAGGATGTATAAACTTTGTACGTATGTATGTTTATATAGACAGAAGCTCTGACACACACTATATAAATTTCAAGTATTTCTATTTTAAATCAAATAGCCTACTTTATGTAGTGCTTTAAGCATTGATAAACTTTATATATACATATAATATATGTAACATATAACAAGATATATATGAAGAGAGAGAGAGAGAGAGAGAGTGTGTGTGTGTGTGTGTGTGTGTGTGTGTGTGTGTGTGTGTGTGTGTGTGTGTGAGAAATCTCAAAAGGTTTTGTTCTGATAAATCATTTTTTGAGTGAGACTTAGTAGAAAGAGTACTGATTTGGAATCTAGACATCTGTATTTGAATCCAACCTCTAACACCTACTGTATATAAGTCACAACTTCCTCTAACCTCAATTTTTTCATTTACAAAATAGGGATAATAATACTTATGCTCCCTAACTCAGAGGTTTGCTGCGAGGAAAACACTTTGCATAAATGACCTATAAATGTGAGCTTTTATTATTGTTAACTCACTCCCAGTCCTGCTCTCTTACCCATCAGTCAGCTATAATACAAACCCTTCACAGAGTTAAAAGTTCCTAACTCCTGAACTCTAGGGACTTAACACGCTACGCTGAATGTCCTTCATCAGAAGTGTCAGACACATGGCCTGTGGCCCACCCACGTGCGACCTGAACCAGAAAGAAATGTAATTGGGAAATGTTTAACAAAATAAATAAAAACAACAGTACCACATGAAATGTTTGTTTGTGGTTTTCAAAGTCCATGTGTAGGCCTCTGAGATCTGATCTAGATCAGTGGTTCTTAATCTAGGGTCTGGGAGACCAGAGGGGTCCAAGGATAGATTTCAGAGGTTCTATCAATTTGGATGAGTTTAAAAAAAAATGCACTTTTACTTTCACTAACCTTTTTTTCCCTTTGTAATCCTACACATTTTGTTTTATGTTTTATAAAAAAGAAAAACAACCACATTATTCTAAGAAGGGGTTCCACAGGCATCCCCAGACTGCCAAAGGGTCCAGGACAAAAAAAAAAGGTTAAAAAGCAACACACACACACACACACACACACACTCTCTCTCTCTCTCTCTCTCTCTCTCTCTCTCTCTCTCTCTCTCTCTCTCTCTCTCTCTCCCTCTCTCCCTCTCCCTCTCTCCCTAGATAGTCCAGTAAGACCTGACCCAACAAAGCAGCCAGGGAATCTGAGACATGTCAAGGGCAGTCACAGAGTCATGGCCACCTCTGAGTCCCTGAAGCCCCTAGAGGAGCCTTGTAGCGAATGCCACACTTGATGAGCTAGTTTACAGAGATGTGGGTCATAACTTCCCTGTCCAGCACTCCTAGGCAGCATGACTATAGAAACAACAGATGCCTGCAGGCAGAAACAAAACAAATAGTAGATTGATGGAAGGTTGTTGACTCCGGAAAGGAAATTTTTATTTAAGCTTTTCCATAAAATAGAGTGTGTGCCACTTTCCAGTTACTCCACATAGAAGTGATGAAGGTATTTACAGTGGAATAGGTTTATTGGTATGGAGGGGAGGTTAATTTTTTTCCATGACTATCGTTGATTCTAGGCTTCAAGGTCCTTTCTGGATTTTTTCCCCTTAAAAAAGTCCCTAGCTTGGTTACTTATTTAAGAGATGACTGGTTAGCTGTCTTCTTACAGAGATATAGATTTATGTTGCTTGCTAATCTGACTCTTCACACAAGGCATCCTAGCCTAATTGAGGAGGCTGAAACTTCCAAGCATTTGAAGGATGTACAACTAGGTCCTGATTAGTACTAATAAATGGATCCCATTTAGTGGTCACATTCGAATCCCCATAGCATTGGAACCAGTTACCATATCGTACATAATGATAACTTGAAATGGTACGAATTCAAACTTACATGGCAGCCACTTTGGGATTTGAGACATAGCTGTACTCAACAGTGATCTGTGGGAAAGAGCAGATAAAATTTGACATCACATCCATGGCTTAGGAAATGATCCCACTATAAGAAGTTTGGATTGGACTTCCTCAAGAAGATTTAGGGAGAGGCTCTATTTGATTAATTAAATTATTAGTACATGTCTTAGTGTCACCAGATAGGTGTTTTTGTTTGCAAATTAGGATAGCATCTTAACCTATCCAACAATTTTTTATGATATTTTTATGGACAAGATGGTGACTCATGCCTGAATGATGATGATAATTGACATTTATAAAGTTTACAAAACATTTTATTTGCTTGATTCATGTGATTCTCACAACAGCCTTGTCAGGTAGATACTACGAATATCATTATAGTTATTATTGTTATTCTCAATTTATAGGTGGGAAAACTGAGAGATAAATATCCGTGGTCATACTACTAATAAGTATGTGTTGTTATTGTTTAGTCATTTTCAGTCTTGTCCAACTCTTCATGTAACCCCTTTGGGGGGTTTTCTTGGCAAAGATACTGAAGTAGTTCACCATTTCCTTCTGCAGCTCATTTTACAGATGAGGAAACTGAGGCAAAAAGGGTTAAGTGACTTTTCCAAAGTCACACAGCTAATAAGTGTCTGAGGCCAGAGTCAAATCTTCCTCGCTCTAGACCTGGAATTCTGTCCACTAGCTACAGGTTGAGATTCAAACTCAGGTCTTTTTTACTCCAGGTCCAAGATTCTATGCACTGTGCCATGCTTCCTCTTGGTGTTAATACAATTTGTATGGATCTGTAGCTGTTTGAATGACACAACTTAAAAGCCTGTTGATTAATGGATTGCTGTTGGCTTGGAAGGAGGTCTCTAGCATTATTCCTTAATGGTCTGTCTTTTGCAAGCTGAATAATCATCATTTATCAGATCTGCAGGTGACAACAGAGCTGAAAGGGAGGGATAGTGGGTATGTTGGATAGCAGAATTAGGATTCGGAAAGATCTCACTGAGACGAAACTCACAAAATTAAATTTAATAAAGGATAACAATCCGTCCTGTACTTATCCACAGCATGTAGGGAGAGAGGAAACAATAAACTGGGGAATGAGCACTCAAAGAAATAGCATTTGGCAAGTTCACCCCGCAGTCTTGTTAGACTATTTAAATACGAGTTTCAGCAGTGGTAAGTGAATTGTTTTCTGGAGCAGCAGAGCAAGATGAGTGGGAAGGGGTTTCCCTTCCTTTTATTTGAGTTCTCCATCTGTGACATCCCTTCTAGAAGGTGAACTCTTTGAGACAGAGACCACAGTTTTCCTTTCTTTTTACCTCCAATGCTTTGCACGGTGTCTGGTACATAATAGACTCTCAGTAAATGCTTGTTGGCTCGTTGATTGCCTGAAAGGATACCTAGTGGTATGTCTTGAATTAGGTGTATGCCTTGAACGGTCATTGTATAAGCACCATTTGTCTTATCGTCTGGAGCCACATAGGTAAGCAGGGGCCTGCTGTTTGCCTTTGTCTTACAAGATTGGAGGGAGGGGACACGTGGCTTAAAAGTAACTAATGTGAAAAAGATCTGGAGGTTGAAGGGAAGAAGCATTTGTATGAGTGCCTACTATGTGCCAGGCACTGTGCTTTTTATAACTATTAAATCATTTGATCGTATAGTGAGTTACAAGTCAGCAGTGTGGTGGTGGTGGTTGTTCGGTCAATTTTTTAATCATGTCTGACTCTTCCTGACCCCATTTGGGGTTTTCTTGGCGAAGATACTGGAGTGGTTTGCCATTTCCTTCTTCCGCTCATTTAACAGATGAGGAAATTAAGGCAAGCAGGTTAAGTGACTTTTCCAGAGTCACACAGCTAGTAAGTGTGAGAGGCTGGATTTGAACTCAGATCTTCTTAACCTTGGATCCAGTGCTCTATCCATTGAGCCTCCCAGCCCTCAGCATTGTGGTGTGGCAACCAGAAAAGCTGTAATAGGGTCTTAGCCTGTATTAATGAAATCATAGTGTCCATAATGAGGGAGAAGATAGTCATAATCTAGCCTACCCTGGTGAGACCATAGTTGGGGTAGTGTTTTCAGTTCTGGCCATCATGTTTTAAGAAGGACGTTAACAAATAAGGGTAATCAGCAAGATGATGAAGCCATACCATGCAAAGATCAGGTGAGGGAACAGTGTAGAAATGTCTTCTAAGAAAAGATTTAGACAGGCATGACAGGCATTGATGGACTCCTACAAGTATTCACAGGGTTCGACAGCGATCTGGGGAGGCACGGGGACCTGAATTCAGATTACCGCTGTGACACTTTCTTGCAATGAATGGTATGACTTAAATACCCTGAGCCAAACTTATGAGTGAATAAATGAATCATTGATTGAATGAATGAAATAAAACGCACTTATTAAATACGTACTGTGTGCCAAGTAGTGGTCTAAGTGCTGGAGATACAAATAGGATAAAAAAAAGAGGCAGTTTCTTCTCTTAAGGATCTAGCATTCTAACTGAGGGAGATAAATCATGTTCAGGTTCAGGGCAAGTGGAAAGGCCTCAGAATGCTGAAGAGTACACCGGCAGGTCATATGGCAGTGCCCAGGGATCCGCAGGACATGAGGCAAACCGTATTAGGTCTGGAGGATTTGAGGACACAGTGACAGGGTGGGTAGTAAAGCCTACTGGTCCTTCCTGTCACTGGAAGGCTTAGGGTTGGTGACTGAACAGCCATGTTACTCTTCCCTCCAGGCTAGCCTTGATGATGTCTGTGTAACACCAGTGGTTGTTGGGTGAGGGATAACGGGAAAGCAGAGAAGGGCAAAGTCCTCTCTCAGTTCTTTTTGGGAAGATTGAGGATAATAATATTCATACTTTAGGCATACTATAAAAATTATCTGCCTCGTTGAGGCAGGTAGGTAACACAGTGGAAAGCACGCCAGGCTTGGAGTCAGAAAAACAAGAATTCCAGTCTGGCCTCAGACACTTACTGGTTGTGTGACTCTGGGCTTAATCTTGGTCTACCTCACTTTCCTCATCTGTCAAATGGGAATAATAACAGTATCTACCTGTCAGGCTTGTTGGGAGGATAAAACGAGATCATATGTGTAAGGCACTTAGCACAGTGCATGGAACATGGTAGGCATTTAAAAATGCTTATTTCATTCTTTTTTTGCAAGGAAAGTGCTTGATGAATGCAAAAAGTGTCAGTACCTCAGGTTGCCCACCCACTGATGCAGATCCTGGCCTTAGTAGAGTCGGTGTGGCCAAAAATGTCGTTCCTGTGCTCATTCCAAAAAGGCTGGGGCCCTTAAAATGTTCCCCTTTTCCATCTCCTCCAATTCCTATCCATTCAGATGCAGGTGGAATCTCACCTCCTCCATGAATCCTGCTCCTGCTCTTCTCATTAGAGTGGGCTAGTACAGAGATGGGGAACCTGTGGCCTTGAGGCCACATGTGGCCCTCTACGTCCTCAAGTGTGGCCCTTTGACTGAATCCACACTTCACTGAACAAATCCCCTTAGTAAAAGCATTTGTTCTGTAAAACGTGGATTGAGTCAAAAGGTTGCACCCAAGTCTAGACCCTGGTGTAGTAGTAATTAGCCTGGTCTCTGCCATTCCATATGTGCTCATTTTGACCCTATCCCCACCCCCAGTCAGACTGGAAGCTTCTTCAAAGAGGTGGCCATGACTTCTCTACATCACCCATAGACTGGGTGTTTCAACTCAGTAAATATGGCTAATCATAGCCATAGAAACTGAATTTTATAGATAGAAAGAGTTTCTAACAAGAGTGTCAGTGTTTGCAGTGTTTATTCTGTTTAGAAGGGCCAGTTGTGGGGACTTGACCTGAGATTTCATTAGTAAGGAACTCCCAGGTGAGGAAATTGTTCACCAAGACAAGTTGGCACCTTCTTTGCAATTTATAATCTTAGAGAATTGCCTAGAGCACTGAGAGGTTAAGTGACTTACACATAGTCACAGATAGGACGGATCAGAGGCTAGATAGGAATATAGGTCTTCCCAGCTTCAAGGCTGGCTCCCTGTCCACTATGTCATGATGACTCTATTTAGAAGACCTGTGAAAAAATGCTGAGAAACAGTGTGGTGTCGTGCAAAGCAGACTAACCTTGGAGTCAGAAGGACCTGAGTTTAGGTACTTCTGACAGAGACTAGCTGTATGATAAGTCACTTGCTCTTTCTAGAGTCTGAAGTAAAGTACATCTTTTTCCACCACAGACAGGGGAAGAACACACAGTTACTCATCTCCAGTATGTCGCTTGGCCTGATCATGGGGTTCCAGAGGATTCATCAGACTTTTTGGAATTTGTAACCTATATGAGGGCAATGAGAGTAGAAAATGAGCCCATCTTAGTTCACTGCAGGTATGAAGTTTAAGATAAATTTGTGTTGGGGTAGGGAAGGAAGGGGAAGTCTGTTGGCCAATATTCAATTTATGGTGTTAATCTTGAATCCTAGAAAGACATGTGCTTTTTTTTTTTACTTTCTATACCCAGTAATCACTTTACTTTTTATTTTATTTTTTTTTGTTTTATTTATTTATCTCATTTATTTATTTACTTTTTATTTAACAATGTAACAAGAGTAGTGAACTGGCCCAGCTATTCTGGCCAACAATTTGGAACTGTGTCCAAAGGGCTATAAAACAGTGCATACTTTTGACCCAGCAATACCACTACCAGGTCTGTATCCCAAAGAGATCAAAGAAAAAGGAATAGAACCTATCTGTATGAAGATATTTATAGTAGATTTTTTTTTGTGGAGGCAAAGAATTGGAAACCATGGGGCTGCTCATCAATTGGGAAATGGCTGAACAAGTTGTGGCATATGATTGTGATGGAGTACTATTGTGTTAGAAGAAATGAGGAGGAAGGTGGTTTCAGAAGAACATGGCAAGACCCAGTATAAACTGATGCCAAGAGAAGTGAGAGAAGAACTGGAGGATCATTGTGCGCAACAGTAATGTTGATCGTGTGACAGGCTTGGCCACTCTGATCAATGCAGTGATTTGAGACAATTCCCAAAAACTCGTGATGAAAAAAAACACTATCTACCTCCAGAGGGAGAACTGATAAACTCTGCATGCCAACTGAAGTATAATTTTCTCACTTTATTTTTCTTGCTTTTAAAAAAATATGGCTAACACAGAAATTACGTTTTGTGTGATTTTACAGGTTTAATTGATATTGTATTGCTTGCCTTCTAGATGGGTATGGGAGGGTGTGAGAGGAAGGGAGAGAATTTGGAACTCAAAATTAAAAAAGAAAAGGATGCTTAAAATATGAAAAAATACTTAAGATTTAGAAAACAGTAAAATACAAAACCTTATGAGTCATGTGAAGGTATAAGGATCATTAGTTGGAAAATAAAAATATCCCCTAGCATAATTACCTACCATGAAAAAATTTTCTTTTGTCTACACACTTTAATTCTTTAATCTGATGGACAATTACATGTGTAAGAAATGGGGGGAGGATATTTGTGTCTGTTTTACAAAAAACAAACCATAAAAAGATCATCTTTAATGTTCATTTAAAAAAATATTCCGATTGGAGCTCTTTACTCCACTTGAATAAATTGGAATATTCACTCCCAAAAAACTCCTCATATTTTTAAGGTCAGTTTTTATGGCTTAAATGTTATTAGAATTTGTATCAGTTGTTATGAGTTGCCTACATAATATATAAAATCAGAGTTCCCAGATAACTGGAAACACCCACATTGGGGATATGCTATGAATAAATACTCACTAGAGTTGTCTCATAGAATCTCACAATGCAAAGGAACCCTAGGAACCATCTGGTCCAGCTTAAACCTGAAAAAGAATCCGTTCTACAACATGCCCCTGATTCCCAAGGATTATTATTTTTTTGTTTTAGAAGGATGTGGCATCTAAGCTGTGGCATTCCAGGTGATTCCAAGTCTAAACCTGTCTTTCTAATGTGCCATTGCTTTCCTTGTTTCATTTTTCAGTGCTGGAATAGGTCGAACTGGTGTGTTGGTCACTATGGAAACAGCCATGTGTTTAATTGAAAGAAGCCAGCCTGTTTATCCATTGGATATTATCCGAAAAATGAGAGACCAGCGTGCTATGATGGTGCAGACATCAGTGAGTTGGAATGCTAACTTAATTCCGGATCATGTAGAGTCCTCGCTAAGATATTTTCATGCTAAATATTTGATAAGTTAATAGTCAGTGGGCTTACATTTTACCTACCAGTTTAATTTCTGATAAATGCATCACTTTCTGTAAGCCAAGTGAGATGTGAATTCAGCACATTCGTTGGATAGGCATTTATTAATTGCAAACTGCGTGTATTTCCATTTCTTATATATTCTGCCCTCCACTGGAGGTATAGTCCGTAGTTGGAATGAAAACTCTGTTATTCTCTTTCAATACATTCCCTCATCCTCAGGCAGCCACAATATCCCTTTTCGTAGAGTTTGTCTAACTTATTTCAAGGTCAGACCTTGCCTAAGCAGAAAACATTATGCCTCTGGGAGTAAATTTGGCTACCTCTTGTTCTCATGAAATGCCAGGACCATTTTAGCTCATCCAGAACTACTTTGTGTATAGCAGTGAAAAGGCTCAGAAGCTGTGATCTTTAAAAGACTTACATACACACACACACACACACACACACACACACACACACACACACACACGACTATCTACCTTTTTTTGTGTTAGGATAGTGCAGGAATATAGTTAACCATTTCTTTAGCCTAATAATTATTCACTTGAGCCTTGCAATTAAATATAATTATCTCCCTGTTTTATTTGTGATTTTACTTCTGTGATAAAGATAGCTTAGAATATTGTCTTCTCTACCAAGAGTTTGGATCCTATCTTTCAGTGTTTGGCTGTTAATAGATGGATATGTTTATGAAGTGATTGAGGTTAAATAGAGAATAGGGAAAGGAAGGAACTGTTATTACTATAACATCGTTTTTGGAGCTCACACACGGCACTGTACTTTTTAAACAGACGAGTGGGGACTTCTTTGTCTAGGACATAGTGATGTGACTGTCCTGATAAACTGAGAGTTCATAGAGAATGTTTGAAATTGCTTTAAATCTATCTCTTTTAAAATCTCTTCAGATGTTATTGCCACATGTTTTGTTCTGATAAACAAGTTCCTTCAGAAGTCATCTCTCCGGTGTGAGCTCTGTGCCCCGGGGACAGTGTCTGTCTAAGCCTCAGTGGACTTATCTGGAGAATGAGGGGTTTGAAATAGGTCCTCTCTCAGGGCCCTCCTGAGCTGTGACATTCCCCATGACCTTGGACACTAAACTGTCTTGGTAAAATACTTTGAAGGAAAGGCAACTTAGAAGAGTTACAGATTACTAGTCAGTGTTGGGAATACAAGCACTCAGGGCTGCTTACTTCCTATTGGATGCCTGCAGGTAGAACAGGAGAGTGTCACACTCCATCTCTACCTACAGGCATCCAACAGGAGGTAAGCAGGTCTATAGGCACTCAGCGGAATACACTTCTAGAAACAACAACAGTGAGACGGTTACTCAACATGAGGAACCTGGAACACTCTAGGAGGGAGAAAGCAAAAAGGAATTAATTACTGATGCAGTACGCTAAGATGTGCTCATCTGCCGCCTCCTTCCCTTAGGGAAGTTAATCTCTGACCAGTCAGAATCAGTGTCAGGAATCCCTGACCCAGGGTTATCTTATTCTGGCCACCTGCCTTATCATAGTGAAACCAGGTTATCACAATGCTGAAACTCCTCATGCTTTCACAGTAAAATTATGGGATCATGTTCACCAGGGAATTCTCTGCCTGCAAGACTTAGGATTTGCCTATTTAAAATTGAGCTCAGGCTGCTTTTGACCAACTCTGTGCTCCCAGGAAAGTAAAGTGAAGGGAACTAATCTCTGTGGTTAGTGTGAGGAAACTGAGGAATTGGCCTAACCTGGTCAGATTGCCAAGAGCGGTGATTATTGATAATTGTACTCATAATGGGAATTTTGGGGGAGTTAGTGGAAGCCACAGACGACACACCACGGCCAGCAGATGACACAAAAAAAGTTTAAAAACTCAGAAATGCATAAATATGTGTATAGTATCAACCCAAATTTTACAATAAGATACTGTAAACACCGCATAAAAGAAAAAGGAAAAATTCAGATTTCTTCTCTGGTATGAAGGGAGAGCCAAAATAATTTTCCAGATCGAGGGAGGGGGTGCTGATTTTCCATGCCCCAATCTCTGCAAGGTAGAAGGGGTAACTGTGCATCTTGTTTAAACTTTGCATTTCAAATCTAATGAAATCTAGTGATGATACCAATTTGTAAGTCAGCTCCAGTCTTATGTAAACCTTGCCCTTCCCCCCAGCAAAGTGTGTATTTAGTAAGTATTTGTTGAATGAATGAGGTGGTGTTTGATCATAGGATCATAGTTTCGAGGCTGGAAGGGACCTTAGAAGCCATCCAATAAGGACGCTGCTGCCCAGGGTCACATGGTGCTTCAGAGTGTACAGGGCACTTTCCTCACAACAACCCCATGAGGTGTAGGTAGCTACAGAATTTTAGAGATTCGAGGCACCCTAGAGATTATCTAGCTAACCCCCTTATTTTTACACAGGAGAAAACCAAGACCTGGAGGGGCAAAGAGGCTTGCCTGGGGTCAACACTGCTATTAAATAGCTGTGCCAGCATTCAAATTCAAGTCTTCTGTCTCCAGTGGCTGTTATGCTCTACCAAAATATGCCAGATTGGGGCAGCTGGGTGGTGCAGTGGATAGAGCACCGGCCCTGAAGTCAGGAAGACCTGAGTTCAAATCCGGCCTCCAACCAAACACTTGACACTTACTGGCTGTGTGACCCTGGGCAAGTCTCTTAACCCCAGTTGCCTAAAGCACACGCACACACACACAAACAAAACAAAACATGCCAAATTATAAAATTTTGACTTCAGTTTAGCATAAAACTCTCTAATTCTCTCTCCCTCTTCCCCCTCCTTCTCCCTCTCTTCATCTTCCTCTCCTTCTTCCTCCTACTCCCTCACTTTCCCCCCTTTCCTCCTTCCCTTTCTCTCCTCTCCCCCTCTCCTTCCTTTCCTTCTCTCCCTCTCCATTTCTCCCCCTCTTCCATTTTCTCCCTCCCCTCCCTCATATATATATAAATTTTTTTTAACTTTACATGTAATTTTAGTGCCTAGTGAGCAACGTTCCTTTACTAGTGCAATTTGGCAAGTGCTTCTAAAATTATAGCCTTAGAAAGTTGCCTAGAGCGCTGAGAGAGATCATATGACATGGCTAGCCAGGGTCCCACAGCTCGTATGTGTCATGAACCCAGCCTTTTGACCCCAGGCCAGCTCCTTAGCCATTGTGGTACTCTCAGTTCCTTTTTTTATATATCATTTAAAAAATCAGTGCTTCATGCCTGTTGTGAAACATTGCTGCTTTTGTCAAGTCCTTGCCAGCCCCTTGACACATTTCATTCCCTTCTGTCTCTTCAGAATCATTTTCTTGCCGCATATAATGGAGCACACCTCTAATCCCTGCTCCTGGGAACACTGGGGCTGGTACGTCACTCAGGCTCAGTAGTTCTGAGCTGCAGCAGGGCTCAGGTTGATCCTAGTGTCTGCACTAAGTCAAACCCCAGTGTAGTGGGCCCTCAGGAGGGGAGGATGTGGGGCAGGAGAATCAGGCTAACGAGGGGTGAACCGGCTCAGGTTGGACAGGAGCTTCCATCCTGATCCACATTGGAAACCAGCCTGTGAGTGGACACACTACCACCCGGGAAGAGATAGGGAGACCCAGTCTGAAAAAAAAAATCCCCCTCTTTTATTTCTTTGATTATTTTCTCTATCCTGTGTTTATTCTCTCTAACAGTCCAGAGTAGTAATAATAGCATAACATAATAATAATAACACTTATACAACTGCATGCTAAGACACGATGCTAAGTGCTTCAAAATTATTACCATATTTGATCCTCACAACAACCCTGGGAGGTAATTGCCATTAGTATTTGCATTTTACAGAAGAGGAAACTGAGGCAAATTGAAGTTAAATGACTTGTCCAGAGTCACACAGCTAAGTGTCTGAGGTCACATTTGAACTCAGGTCTTCCTGACTCCAAGCCCAGAGCTCAATCCACTGTATACCGAGCTGTCCCATGTATGAGGGTATTCCTCTAGCTCTTTCACATTCTTCCTATCAGAGAGCTTACATTCATAATAGACATATAATAAGGACCAGCTCATACAGGAAGATAAACATAGCACATGCCTTGAAGGTCACTGGAATATTTGCTTCCATCCATCCTGCCTGTTTCTCAGGTTGTATTAGAATTCTTTGCAGTTATTCCTTGGAACTCTCTGCATGCAGTGCTGTTGTACATTGTGTGTTTGCCTGGGGTTCCTTTCTCCAATGGAACTACTTAGGCATTAATCCCTACTTCCATCAGTAGACACAGTAGTATATGCAAGAGACACTTGATAAGAATTCTCTTTCTCTCTCTCTCTCTCTCTCTCTCTCTCTCTCTCTCTCTCTCTCTCTCTCTCTCTCTCACACACACACACACACACACACACACACACACACATGCACTCTCTTTCTCATGTGTGCACATGTATCTAGATTTTTTTTCTTGGCCTTTTTAGAAGAGATAGCCTACAAAAGCATTATCTAATTGGATCCTCAAGTCAGTAGGAAAGATGGTATTTTTTGGTCCATTTTGCAGGTGAGAAAATAAAAACATAGAGTAGTTTTGACTTGGCCAGGACTAGATCTCCGGTCTCCTAATTCCAAGGGGCAGATAAATTTTCAAGTTGAAATGAAATACTTTTAAGTCAGAAAAAATAAATTTCTTTTTAAAATTTAATTCTTTTCTTTTAAAAAGAAATCCTTTACATAACTGATAAACAACTTTTAGAACGTACCCTCCTGTAGGGATACTGGCTGAAAATAAATAAACAATGGTTTAGAAAAGGAGTAGGGAATCTGCAGCCTCAAGGCCACATGTGGCTTTGTTCTGTTACGTTTGGATTTGGTCAAAGGGCCACACTTGAGGACCTAGAGGGCCACATGTGGCTTTGTTCTGTGAAGTTGGGATTTGGTCAAAGGGCCATACTTGAGGACCTAGAGGGCCACATGTAGCCTCAAAGCCATAGGTTTAGAAAAATTCATAAGAGGATACAGCCATAAATCATTTTTGAAGAGAGAGGTATTTAGGGCAAATCTCCAATGCTTGTCAGGGAAGGGAAGCACAATCTCTCACCATCCTTTGGTACTCCTTAGAGACAGAGCACTGAAAGGGATGTATTGTGAGTGTGACTAGTATAGGTATGAAAACTCTATATCTTACCCCAAAATGTTTCCTAATTGAAACTGTGATGGTTATGGTACCTTGATTATTTTGACCTTTACCTTTGGAGACCATCTTTGGATTGCTGTTCTGTGGTTCCATGAAACCCCCTCCTACACTGTTCTTTACAAATGGTGGTAGTTTGGCCCACTTAGAGTGGGAGTCCAAAGATCTAGGGCATGGCTTCAAGTTTCTCAAATTAAACCTCTGGGGCCTCATTTTCCTCATCTGTAAAATGAGGGGGTCTGAAGTACCTTCCAGCATCAGATCTATGCTTCTAGTCCAAGCTCTGTCAATAACCAGCTTTGCAGCCCCTGGTAAGCCACTTACTCATTCTCTAAGCTCTCTGGTTTTTCATACACAAAATGGAAATACTAGTATTTATACCAGCCACTTCACATGGTTGTGAGGAAAGGGATTTGTAGACTTTAAAGCATGACATAAATGTGCACTCTCGTTATATTATGGGTTGTATAATATTAGTAACTCCTCTGGTCCTCAGTTTCCCCATCTATAAAGTGAGAAGGTTGCTTCCAAGATTGCTTCCATCTCTAACACTGTGTAGTCGTCTACAGTTCTTAAGAAAATGGAAGAATAAGATATGTGGCTTTGAGGGAGGGATCATTTTCAGCCATCATTTCATACTTTCAATAATAATTAGTCATTTTAACTAATAATATTCATTAAAATAATTTTGATTGAATAATACATAGACACACTCACACGGGTGTGCGTGTGTTTCTTGACCTTTTTAGAAGGAATGGCCTGCAAAAGCAAGTCACTATGGAAGGCAAATTATCCCTTCCTTTTGCAGATAAGAGTACTGGGGCTTAGAATGGACCTCAGAATGGGCCTCGGTTCAACCTGATGATCCCTGAGCAAGCAGATCTCTTAACTCCAGAACCAGCCTCTGGTTTTTTGTTTTGTTTTTTCTGCAAGACCGTTCCTGCTGGAAAAGTCTCTCCAACAGCCTTTTCAGTCATGTATCATCACCGTGTCAAGTCTGTGCACATGCTTGACTTTCCAGATGCTTCCTGACTCTTCTCTCTCTTCCACAGAGCCAATACAAGTTTGTGTGTGAAGCTATCCTTCGTGTCTACCAAGACGGTCTGGTTCAGCCACTAGATTCTAGCTAACGTGACTGTTCACCATTTCTCAAGAACATCAGTCGTGGGAGCAGGACACATTGGACTGGAATCAACAAAATGGATCCACAGAGGCGATAAGAAGAGAATGAGAACCTTTGAACTCTGCACTTTAAATTTCCGTAGAAAGAAAAAAAAAGCATTTTGTATATAGGAACACGTAGACACGTGTGCATGCGGTTGTGTGTAATACCATTCATACGCATATGTGTGGACGGAAACTTCAGTGGTATGCTGCTTGCTTCTGTTATCCAATGGAGAAGTAATCAAAAGGAAAGAAATACTGAAGGGGAGCTCATGGCCTCTGTCTTACTTGCCTTTAAAAGACTTTCCTGTAGGCAGTCATAATAACCCTAGTAGCCATCATTTTGCTGAGCATTCAGAAACTAAGTAGCATTGGTTATTTTAGGCTTATCAAGTATTTTGTTTAAGAAAAAAAAAATACTAAAGGCTAAGTGTTTTAGGCTTCTAGAAAGAGTTGGAACAATTAGAGGATTAATTCTCTCTCCCAGCGTTAAAAACTGCATATTTGTCAATGGATCTGTGATTTCATTTGTCTGGGTGCTCCCTCCATGCTTTCTTACCTTATTCACTTTTTTTTATCTGTGTTTATGTCTTCTTTAGAGGATCCTGCCCAATGCACTAAAAACCTTCCTCTAAGTTGTCTTTTTTTTTTTAACATTTTGTGAATACCATTGTACTACGTAGTATACCAGCTCATCTGTTATCTCTCAGCCTCGCTTACATGATAGATGGGCCCACACCCTTTTCCTGTTGTACATACCCTCAGTGTTCTGTTTCACACCACTTTTTATACACAAATCATCATTGTGATATGCTGCAGCCTTCTTACACTTTACCTTGTGTTTTTCCATTGCCCTGTGAGTTGTCCACCATTTTGATTCCTCTGATATCGTGGTGTTCCAAGATTTGCTGTCATAAAACATCACTGGGAAGAGTATTGAAGGTTAAAAAAAAAAAAGACGGATTTTTAATTCAGGGAGTAGAAACCCTTGAAAGAATGCCAGTAATACTGGTAAATAGTGAATATTTATTCACTAAATATAATAGACATGCAAGGCCTAATATAATACATATTCAGCTAAAGAACAAGGCATGCTAAGTCTAACATTGTTTATTTGTTTTTATGCCTTCAGGTGTTAAATCATTCAGATGTTAATATTTTTGAGAATTGTGTCCCAAGCCTCCCTTCTTGCCTCTCCCTTTCACCTCCTTTTTCTGGCTTGTACTTAAATATGGAAACCAGATAACATTTTTTCTTTTTTATTTTATTTACAAATTCTAAACTTAGATTCTGAGATTTAGTCTTCTCAGTTTCTCGATTTTATTTATTAGTGTTAGATACAGTTTGTGAATTGATACTATGTCACCTTTTCTCTCTGACTTGTTTACTGTGCATTCAAAATCCAGTACTGGAAAATGTCTACTACTGAAGCTACTCAACGTTTTGCTGCTACTTCAAACTGTTAAACATGGGGAAAAAACTATGCTATTAGTGTGGGGATGATACGGTGGAAATAACTCAGTCTTTGGCCTTTCTGAAATTTTTTTTTTTATCCAGTTGACCATGGGAAACACAAATATCCCAAGGGATGTGCCCTTGTGTACGAGTGCGTGTGTGTGTGTGTGTGTGTGTGTGTGTGTTTTTCGGGGGCAATTTAATACAAGTTATGGATGAGTTATAAAATCCGGGTTTCTGTATATATATGAAAGACTGTACACTTTCACCCTTAATACAATGGTCTCAATTTCATTTCAAAAGGGAGGATCAGACCATCTGAATGGTATAAACACAATGTTGATGTTAATTTATTTGAGCACATCTTACTTGTAATTGTACTAGAGAATTCTGCCTCTGTTAATAATATTGTTAAATTTTTTTTTAAATATATGATAGAATTATAACAAATATTATTTAAGGAAAATAATCTGAAGATCTTAATGTGGTATACAATGTAGACATTTATATGCATTGAAAAAAGGAAGCTAGCCAGTTTCTTAATGAATAAAGATGCTTTCATATGATTATGCCATGTGACAAGGATGCCATTTTGATATTCTGCAGTCTCTGAATCGATTAAAAGGTTTCCTTTAGCTGTGAAATGCTTGAAGTACATAGTGGGAACTAATTTTTCTGAAGGCATTAGGGCCTGTCTCTGTAGATCAACCACATTTGCTCAAATTCTTCACCCTGTTTCTTCCGCAAATATTCTGAAGTAGGGTAGAGGAAGGAATGCTGGATTACTTGGTAATATTATTTCTGCTCTGTGAACCTTGGCAGCTCTGGCCGAGTTGGGTTTAGGTTAGTGTTAGGTCACTAACCTAACAGACTGCATGGGGCTAGCAGGAGGGGTTTAGTAGCAAGAGTTCTGGGATGAGTCGGGAGAACTTACTGCCCTGCTGTTAATTATTCACTTAAGCTTTCTGTGTCTGATTTCCACTCTGTAAAATGGGGCTGATGATTGAATGTTCTCGCTTCAGAAGGCTTGGAGATTGAATCAGAGATGCAGCTATCATCACACCGCATTTCTATAGTGTTCTCATTTTCACAAAGTGTTTTCCACTTATCAACCCTGTGAGGGTAGATGGTATAATTTTTTTTTATCCTTATTTTGTAGTTGAAGAAACTGAGGCTAGGAGAAATTCACCTGAGTCACACAACTAATAAGTATCAGAGCTGGAGCTTGAATCTAGTGTGCTGTCCATTGCTCTTCACACTATACTTCATCTTAGCCCAGATACTGGGCCTGTGATTTCGTTGGTGTGAGAAAACCCCCTCAACCAATGCAAGTCAAAGCCTTCTCTTTGACTTACAACCTTAGAAAGTTGCCCTAAAGCACTGAGAGTAACTGCTGGGGTCACTCACCCATTATGTTTCATAGGCGGGACTTGAACCCTGAGGTACCACATTACCTTTCTTCACTGTAGTTATTAATGAAACTTTGAAAGGATTCTGATAATCCAAAGTGTTTTATTTCACTACAGGGCAACTAACTCGGATGGATGCCACAGACATTTGATATCTTTGATCTTGATTTTCCTTACTACAACAAATTCTTGCCAGGAGCAGCAAGAGTACAAAGTTCCCTTATCTTAATTTGTTCTCAAAAAGAAAAAAAAAAGAGAAATGTGGGAATGGGCAGGCACCCTCTTCCCCATACATACACACAAACATACACACATACTTTTAATACACTGTCTTTTAAGTACTCCCAGACCTTAGTATCCATCCCACCGCTGCATCCTTAGGACTTAAGAACCTTTCCATGTGCCCAGTAGCTGAACCTTCTTTTATATATTCTCTACCCAATTGAGGACAAGTACTATTTTTTTTTCATTTGTAACTGTAGTACATGTTATACACAGTACTTGGCCTGTAGTTGGCACTTAGATACTTTTTCATTAATTGATTCATTCACTCATTGCCATGAATCAAATGAAACCGTGAATGTAAAGGGCTTTGATAAATCTTAAAAGTTCTTTGTAAATCTTAGCTATTAATAATTCAAAGTTCATCAGTAATGCCCATAGAAAAATGACCTTCAATGCTACTGTGATAAAAGTGCATGCTTCCTGTTTCCTTATAAGACATATTTGGGGTTTTTTAATATATAAAGAAGATCAATAATAGCACCCAGAAATCATTCCAGATAATATAGATAGCTTTTTTTTCTTTTTGTTTGTTTTTAGGCAGTTGGGGTTAAGTGACTTGCCCAGGGTCACACAGCTAGTAAGTGTCAAGTGTTTGGTCTGAGGTCGAATTTAAACTCGGGTCCTCCTGACTTCAGGGCTGGCACTCTATCCACTGCACCACCTAGCTGCCCCTGTAGATAGCTTTTTGCCAGAATTTGTTAGGTCAAATCTGAGGTGGAGGAGGGCAGGAACTACAAAATAAATAAAAATTTTAAATTGCATATTGAATTCTATAACTCAAAATTTTAATTATACGTACACCAATTAGGATATGGGGGGGTTGGTAAAAAAAACCTTGGAGTCAGGACAAATGCATTACTTTGGAAATTGGGCAGGAATGAGGATTGGGAGTGGTTTCTGGGTACGAGCTTCATATATCAAAGAATAGCATTTTAAGTAACAGTTGAGCACATTAATATATTGTAGAGTTTATGAAGATTTAATACCTTTGTTGGTATTAGGTTAGAATATGCAGTTCGGCACTCCCACTTTTCAGTGAAGAGTAGTAAGGGCCAGTCAAGTCCTTGAGAAGTAAGAATTTTGGTTTTTTTTAAAAAATCAACAAAATATTCAGATAAGGCTTTGTGTGATGCCAGCCATATGGACTCAAGTCCATAAATCAGTCTCAACTAATTTAAAGACTTACTGCTTTGTAACATTGACAATTTCTTTTAAGCCAGTCAAATGTATCCTTTGAGGATCAGCACTTAACCTTTAGGGTGGGGAAAATGCTAATAATGCTGAGAATTCAAATGAAGCTTAAACCACAGTGGTATGAGAAACTGAAAAAACTCATCATAAATGTGTATGAGAGTTTCTCGTGAGTGAATGCTGTTCAATGTCACTATAAAGGAAAAACAGCCTCACACTCGGCTCTCTTTGCTATCAAAAGTCTGAGCATGAATTCAGAAATGAAGACACTGCAATGCAGCAAACTGGCTGCAGGTCAGGCTGCAGTGTTATTATCTGATACCAAGCACAGCCCAAGTCCAATTGAAAGGTGGTCATGCGACCCTTGTGACTAATAATAACCGATGTTTCTATAGCACTTTAAAATAGCACTTTATGCTTACATTATCTCATTTAAGCCAACTCTGTGAGGTAGGTACTAGGTAGATAGGGTGTTGCACTCCAAAGAAAATGTGAGTTCAAATCCTGCCTCAGACAGTTAACAGTTGTGTGACCCTGAGCAAATCATTTAACATCTTGGCTTCAGTTTCCTCGTCTGTAAATGGGAATAATATAATCACACCTTACAGAAGTGTTCTAAGGATCAAATGAAATAATATATGTAAAGGTGCTTTGCCAACATAAAGCATTATGTAAATGTTAGCTATTATAGATATTAACTCAATTTTAGAGGCAAAAAAAGAAACTGGGAGCTTAAGGGATTTGCCTTTGGTCACACAGCTAGAGCATCAGAGGCAGGATTGAACTCAGATTTCCCTCTAAACTACCCTGCCTTTCCCTTGTAACTGCTCATACTTTCTTTGGAGAAACCAAAGAATTCCTGTTGTCTTATGTTTTTTGAAAGATCGTTGATTGATAAGGTACATATTTCAATGTAAATATGGTGGTTTTGTTACCCATCTTCATTTTAAAAGTCTAATGGAACAATGGTCTGGGTCAGTCAGTTGGAAAAGAATTTGAAATAATCCACAGCTATTTTTACCCATTAAAAATTTTCATCTATTGATTTGAAGTGGTTTTTGAAAAGAATTTTTCTTATAATGTATGAAACATGCATTGAATGAGCATGGTGTGGATTTCTGTGCATATTACCACAGGTGGACCCACACACCACTCACTTTCTATCTTACCCTAGATTTGTTAGAATATGCACATGATCTAGAAATTAAGTCTGTGACTGAGACCTTGCCCTAGCTAAACTCCTCCCAGTAGAATGGGCTGTCCTTAACTCCTATAACTTCTAAAAGGCAGCATCTGAGCTCACCAGTTTCTCTGATACAGAAAGACCCCCAGGGATTTAGTGTATGTCCCTCAAATACCCTAAAAGTAGGAACCCCCAAAGCTTGCAATGTGTCTCTAATAACTCCGTAGAAGTCAAAACCTCAAGACTCCTAAGAAGAGGAAGCTAGATGAGGCCCCTTCATGCTGGTGATGATAAATATTTACAAAGCAGAGACCTGTACTAGGAGGAAGAGAAGTTTAAATTAAATGTAGCCTTGTCACTAGGGAACTTATACAGTCCAGTGTCTAAAGGTGCATATCCCAAGGATTATAGGTTTAAGAGCTGAAAGGAACCTGGACTGTGTACTCCAACCCCCTCATTTTATAGAGGAGTAAACTGAATTACAGAGTATATATAACCTGCCCAGGGTCACACAACTAGATTCAAACTCAGGTCTTCCTGATTCTAACTCCACGATCCACTTAGCCACCCTTATTGGTATTGATTTTGTATCTACGTATGCCTGATATATGGTAGGCCTTCCAAACTTACATTGGTCAGTTCAGCCAGTTGGACACACTCTACCTTGACTTCAGCATAATGATGTCATTTTAGTCTTCTTTGAGAGTGAAGGACAACAGCCAATCCACATGGCTACATGTTTCCCCCAATAGAAGGTAAGCATCCTGAGGGAAGGTGTTCATTTTTGTCTTTTTATCTCTAGTATGCAGTTCAGTGCCGGGCACATAGTAAGAACTTAATGCTAACTGACTGATAATTACCTGAACAAGTTCTATGTTGTTATTTATCCTAAGTAGTAGACAAAATGGCACACCTATAAATTCTGGATCCCCCAGTGAGAATTTGAGAAAAGGTGCCTAGTATCCTTTCAGCACACAAGTGATGTTCAAAGAGGTTATGTATGTGAATGTACTTTGAAACTCTATTTGTTTAAGGCATTGTGCATAATATTACTATTCTTACCATTGTCATCAAAACACATGGAAAGAAAGATGGCAGCATCTTTGATCTGATTTAGCCCATTCTCCTTTACATATTCCCTATACTGGCCAGAGCCATTTGTGATTCTGACCTTCAGGAAGAAAAGTAACTGAGCACATTTCCTGGCACATAGTAGATAGGGGTTTTTTTTAACTGTCTGACCTCCAGCAAATGGGTAATACCTGCAAATTTAGAGAGCCTGCCTAAAGTGGATATCCTATGTAAATGCTTGAGGAATGATGTCTGACAACACTCTCTAGCAGTTTACCATGTAGAATTAACAGAATGATCATTGTTTTATTTCTTTAGGCAGGTAGGGACTGCCTAATGCCTAGCCACCTAGGAGGAGAAAAATGAGAAGGTCATCTGTGGTGGTGCCTCGGGGAGGTTAAGGGCTAGTCTGACGTAAATTGTTCTTCTT